CACTGTTCTAGTACCAAAAAGGTGGTGGCTGCTGAGAATAAAGCTAGGCTTAGGCAGGAATCAAGGTCATGGTCTACCAACCAGATCCTCTTGGGAAACAGCATTGGACTCATGAAGTGCCAAGAGAGCAGGTGGTGTGGCTCCACGGGAAGGCTGGAGAATCTGGGAATCAAGCAGAAGCACTCATTGTTCTGATCATGTAAATACAAAACTGTCAGCTACTACAGCCATCAACAGAACATCTGGCAGGACAAGCAGCTCAGAAGATTTATAGCCACAGGGTAACAATGGACTATTATCTGCAGTTAAGGTCCTCTTCCTTCCTCTTAGGGCTTGCTTATTTATTTATTTGAGACAGAGTCTTGCTATGTCACCCAGGCTGGACTGCAGTGGCACAAGCTCGGCTCACTGTAACCTCCGTCTCCTGGGTTCCAACAATTCTCCTGCCTCAGCCTCCTGAGTAGCTGTGATTACAGTCAGGTGCCACCAAGCCCAGCTAATTTTTTGTGTGTTTTTAGTGGAGACGGGGTTGCACCATGTTGGCCAGGATGGTCTCAAACATCTGACCTCATGATCCGCCTGCCTCAGCCTCCCAAAGTGCTGGGATTACAGGTGTGAGCCACCGTGTCCGGCCGGGTTTATTATCATTATTTTTTAAGCAAGGGCTAAATTCTTTCCCTCTCTTGGGCACCAGTGAAGTATTTAAGAAAAGCAGTCACCAACTATAGTGAAATTTTAAAAGACAAATTAAAAGGTGCCCCATAAAACTGCATACCTCAACCATACGTTGGCTTTCTGTTGAAATTGCTCTCTGTAACCCTGATGTGACAGGCAAGCAGTCCAAACCCATGCCATCTTGGCCCCTGCGACTTGTAATAAGTAACTAAGGTCTGTAATTTCCACCCTACCCAGACAATGTGTAAACTATGCTTATCTTGACTTCCGTGAACCACTTAAGTAACAATTGGAATGACCAAAGTTCCCTGGCCCTCAGAATGTCTGAAGCCCCTCACGCTTACCCCCACCCAGGAGGTGGTTTACAGGCATAAAAGGTCTTGACACCCTCCCTTTGAGGCCGTGGGTTAGAGACACTCGAGTCTTCAGCACCACCAGCAATGGAGACCCTGTAATTTGGCCTAGTCTTTGTCTCAGTGGTGATTTTGCGCTCCCTCAGTTACAACAATAAGTTACAACATAAAGACATCTCATGAACTATCATAAGAAAAAGAGGAAGAAATTAAGACACTTTTTATTATCTTTTTGAGACAGGGTCTTGCTCTGTCCTCCAGGCTGCAGTACCCGGATGCAGCCTCCCAAGTATTTGGGATTACAGGCCTCCGTCACCACATTTTTGTATTTTTAGTAGAGATGGGGTCTCACCATGTTAGCAAGGTGGGTCTCAAACCCCTGACCTCATGTGATGCTCCCACTTCGCATCCGACCAGAAAAATTAAGAAATTCTCAGATAAACAAAAGCTCAGAGAGTTCATTACACTGGGTCCTACCCTGCAAGAAATGCTAAAGGGAGTCCTTCAAGTCAAAACAAAAGAATGCTAAGTGGACATTTGAAGCCACATATAAAGACCTGTATTATTGGAATTTTGATTCATATCTCTGATTTTAATTATTTTATTGGATTTAAAAGAGATGTGTAAGCATAAGTCTGTGTTAAATATATAATTTATAAAAAAACAAATTAGGCATGGTGGCATGCACCTGTAGTCTCAGCTATGGAGGATCACTTGAGTCCAGGGGCTGGAGGTCACAATGAGTATGACAGTGCCATTGTACTCCAGCCTGGGTGACAGAGTGAGACCCTCTCTCTAAAATATAGATATACTTTGTAACAACAACATAGGACAGGGTAGAGCTGTCAAGGAGTAGAGTATTTGCATGTGATTGAACTTACTAGTTTAAAATCGATTGCTATAACTTCAGGATGTATTATGTAATCCTCACGGTAATTACAAAGAAAATATCTATAGAATGTACACAAAAGGAAATAAGAAGGGATTCTAAGTGTGTCACACCAAAAAAATCAATTAACACAAAGGAAGGCAGAAGGAAGAAAATGAGAAACCGACAAGCCATGCAGAAAACAATCCACAGAGTGGCACCTGGAGGCCCCGTAAATGGTGTGCTGGAGTCCTCCCAGAGGACCTGCTCACTGAGCCCTTGACTGTGGGCCTCATGGCAGTCACCCAGCAGGGTAGTGAGTTTGGTCAGATGATAGTCTTTAAAAATGCAAATGAATTCTACAATCAAAAGACTAAGAGACTTACACATTCGTTGAAAGTGAAAGGATGAAAAAGGATATTCCATGCAAATGGTAACCAAAAAAGACGAGGAGCTAGACTAATATCAGACAAAATAGACTTAAGGTCAAAAGCTGTTTTAAGAGATAATAACAGTCAATTCACCAAAAAGAGGTAACAGTTATAAATGTGCATGCAGCACACCTCAGAGCTCCTAAATACATGAAGCAAACACCAATAGAGTGAAAGGAGAAACAGGTAGTTCTATGGTAACAGTAGGCGACTTTAACATGTCATTTTTTTTTTTTAGACAGAATCTGACTCCGTTGCCCAGGCTGGAGTGCAGTGGCATGAGACAAGTCACTGCAACCTCCAGGATTCAAGTGATTCCTGTGCCTCAGCCTCAGAGTAGCTGGGATTACAGGTGTATGCCACCACACCTGGCTGTTTTTAGTAGAGACAGGGTTTCACCATGTTGGCAAGGCTGGTCTTGAGCTCCTGACTTCAAGTGATCCACCTCCCTTGGCCTCCCAAAGTGCTGGGATTACAGGCATAAGCCACTGTGCCTGGCCCAATAACTCACTTTCAATAATGGATACAACACCCAGACGGAAGATCAAGAAGGAAACAGAGGGCTTGAACAATACTATAGACAAATTGGACCTACCAGACATACACAGATGAGTTCACCCCGCAGCAGAATACACATCCTTCAAAGTATATGTGGAATGTTCTCTGGAAAAGATCATATATTGGGCCTCAAAGCAAGATTTAATACATTTTAAATGACTGAAATCGTAATAGCAAGAGGAAAACCAGAATATTCACAAATCTATGGGAACTAAACAACATACTATAAAAACTATGGATCAAAGAAAAATAGTAAGGAAAATTAGAAAGTATTTTGAGACAAAACATCAAATCTTATGGGATGCAACAAAAGCAGTGCTATGACGGAAATTTGTAGCTGTACATGCTTACATTAAAGAAAGCTGGCCAAGGGCGGTGGCTCACACCTGTAATCCCAACACTTTGGAAGGATGAGGAAGGCAGATAACCTCATGTCAGGAGCTCAAGACCAGCCTGGCTGACATGGTGAAACACCATCTCTACTAGAAACATAAAAATCAGCCAGGTGTGGTGGCAAGCACCTGTAATCCCAGCTACTTGGGAGACTGAGGCAGCAGAATCCCTTGAACCTATGAAGAGGAGGTTGCAGTGGGCCAAGATTGCACCACTGCACTCCAGCCTAGGTGAGACAGCTAGACTCCATTTCCCCCAACCCCTACCCCCACCCCCCCCACACACACACAAAGCAGCAGCAGTCAGGCATATTGACACTGTTCTATAATCCCAGCTACTTGGAAGGCTGAGGCCAGGAGATTGCTTGAGCCCGGGAATTTGAGACTAACTCAGCAAGTGACAAGACCCTCTGTCAAATAAATTAAAAAAAAGGAAAAAGCTCTCAAACCGCAATCCTACCTTTGTACCTTAAATTATTAGAAAACGAAGAACAGCCTAAACCCAAAGCTAAGAGAAGGAAGGAAATAATAAAGGTTAGAACAGAAATAAATAAAACAGAAGATGGAAAAACTGACATAACTACCAAGGAGATTGAATCAGTAACCAAAAACTTGACAAGAAAGAAAATTACAAGAACAGATGGCTTCAATTGTGACTTATACCAAACATTTACAGAACCAACACCAATCCTGCTCATCTTCAAAAATCCTGAGAAAAGAATACCTCAAAACTCATTCTGTGAGGCCAGCATTACTGATACCAAAGGCAGACAAAGCAGCAGAAGAAAACACACCACTATCCCTGATCAATACAGATGCAAAAGTGCTCAAGAAAACACTAGTAAGGAGAATTCAACAGTGTCATAGATGAATTATACAACATGATCAAGTGAGAGTTATTCCTGGAATGCAAAGGTGGTTACCATAAAAACATTAATGTAAGATACCACATTAACAGAATGAAGGAAAGGAAACACATGACGATTTGTTTCAATTAGTATAGAAAAAGCATTTAATGAAGTTTAATATCCTTTCATGATTAAAAACATACTGGCTAGAAATCGAAACAACCTCAACATAATAAAGGTCATATGAACAACCTCCAGCTAATATCATTCTCAATGATGAGAGACAAAATTTTCCAAGATGAGGAATAAAACAATGATGCCTGCTTTCACAGTTCTGGAAATCCTAGCCAGAGCTATTAAGAAAGAAAGGAAAAAGAAAAGGCATCCAAATTGGAAAGGAAGAAGTAAAATTTTCTCTGTTATCAAATGACATGATCTTCTTTGTAGAAAATGCTGAAGACTGCCCAAAATAAACTGTTAGAACTAATAATATCTCCAAGTTTCAGGATTATGAAATCAACATACAAAAGTCAGTTGCATTTCTACACACTAACAGTCAATGATCCAAGAAGGAAATTAAGAAAACAGTTCCTGGCCGGGTGCTGTGGCTCACGCCTGTAATCCTAGCACTTTGGGAGGCCGAGGTGGGTGGATCACCTAAGCTCAGGAGTTCAAGACCAACCTGGACATCATGGTGAAACCCCACCTTTAAAAAAAAAAAAAAGAAAACAGTCCCTGCTGCCTTGGTTGTGCATGCCTATAGTCCCAGCTACCTGGGAGGGTGAGGCAGGAAAATTGCTTGAGCCTGGGAGGTCAATGCTGTCAGTTTTTATAATGATTATACCTGTGAATAGCCAGTGTACTCCATCCTGGGCAACATAGTGAGACATAATCTTAAAAAAAAAAAAAA